GTAAAGCCAAACACAAATGACTACCTCAGCAAAATAGTCTAGGTCTTGGAAGTACTTGTGTACGTTTGTGAGAAAGCCAGCAGCCCAAATAGAGTCTTTCTGTACAATGGCGTAGTCTTTTGTGGTCAGCAGGTAATAGCCAAATGTGAGTACCAAGAAAAGCAGTGAATAATATGCTGGAAGTATCCGTTTAACTCGTTTTTTGTAGAAGGTCAGAAGACCTATTAAAGTAAAGGTTTTTTTTCTGAGCAAAATCATCGTCATAAGATAACCAGAAATAACAAAGAATATGTCAACGCCAAGGAAACCATAAGGAAACCGCTGAGGATACAGGTGAAAAGCAAGGACGTAGATTATGGCAATTCCTCTGAGGCCTTGAATATCCCTGCGCTTGGCAGGAATTACCTTTTCATCAGAAATACCTTAAGAGAGTGTAAAGTTTATAGCAACCGGTTATTTATTAGATGAAATATAAGACTAAAAATGTTTGCTCTGTGGCTCATTTTTCTAAAAAATCTTTTTATTTACTACCGATAATGATAAAATATTCAAAAAGTAATTGCTGAAGCTTCTTCTGGATTACTGGACTATAGAAAATTTTATTAGTTTCATAAATTCTAATTTTTTAATATTGCAATGTGAACTGTAATTCTCACGACATCTTTGGCAAAATGTTAAAAGCCATTTTTACCAAGTCTTTTTTATTTTGGTCAAAAAAGGCAGAATTGACAAATATGCACCGTTTTCATTTTCATGATTTGAGTTTACAACATCAACTTCCTTTAATCTGTTCTATTCTCTAACTAACTAAAAATTATAAGTCTTGTGATAGAGATTACCTGTAGTGTTGTTTCCTACCTCCTCATCACCGGCAATCATCCTCTACCAGACCAACAGCAGGTTCAGTTTAACGATTCCCCACAGAAGTAACTTCTTGTTGTGTATGTCAGTGGGATACTAAAATGGAGTTTAAACACTGAAAGCAAAGCGCTTAAATTAATTAGTCTAAATTTTGCTTTGTAAGGGTATAAACGACCGTAAACGTTTTTTTGCTTTTTTTTTGGCAAGAGCAAATATTGAAACTATAAATAATGGAAAAATTATCAAGACGAAAAACTTTAAAATATGGAAATCGTCAAATTTTCAGAGCCGTTTTCGTATTGACTGTCCTTGAGCACGAGTTAAATTGGAAATTCATTTCTGCTCACTGCGGTGCTGAACTGTACATAGTTAACTTTCAGATCTCAACTATCTGATCCAGAAAAGATGCATTAGTACCCCAATAAAAAACATTTTATCTTCTCAGCTTATAAGTATATAAAACAACTTTGCAGTGACGTTGGAGACAAACGACTTGTAGATTATGTCTTCAAATAAGATGTAACTGTACATAATGCAGGTGTTACAGTAGACTCAATTTCCAGCTAAGGAAATTTACAGTTGTAACCAATTTAGAGTTTGTAATTTAAAGTCGTAGGTTTAAAAACTTCTGGTCTTTTAGAGAGTGTGCTCTCATCTCGTTTTTATTTTGCCGCCTGTCCATCCGCGCAGTAGCAAGTCTTTACACAGCTGCTCTGCTCTATTCAATTTATCTATGATCTGGTTTCTCAAAATTTCTGTTGTGATGAAGTTGTAAATAT